TGAAGGGGGTGCGAGGATAAAGTGTTGGAGGAGAAGAAATGCCGGGATGCGCGTCTGTCGGGGCACGGACGGGGCCCAAATGTGGGGCTGCCTGTCGCCACCCAGCGCCCTCCCCCCCCCGTCCGTCCTCGCGTTCCGTCGGACCGGGCATCCGAAAACAAGTATCATCTATCCCCTGAGATCGGCCGAATTAATGCCCCCCTCTGCCGCTGACGCGGGCCCTCTTCCCGACGGGCGCTAGCAGGCACCCCTGTGGCCGAGGTTCGGGTTGCCCGGCGGCCTCATGCTCCCAACGCACCGGGTTGGCACCTAGCCTGTGGGAATCCACCCCTGTGCTGGTGGCGGGAGCCTGGGGGCCAGCTTCTCGGGTCTCACGCCGTGGCTCCCCCGGGTCCTGTGCGGGGCAGAAGGACCGGAGCGAAGCAGGGGTCTGCCGAGCCGGGGAGAGAACTAGAGCAAGGGGGAGCCCCGCGCTCCGGATAGCCCCCCCCCCCCCGCCGCTCGCCTGCACCAGCGAGTCGGCGCATTCCCGAGACTCCTCCTCCGGCGTCTTGGGCCAGGGCCGGGCGAGGAGTGCCGTCCTGCGGTCTGTTCGTTAGCTGTGTGTGTGTGTGTGTGTGTGTGTGTGTGTGTGTGTGCGTGTGTGTGCGTGTGTGTGCGTGCGTGCGTGCGTTTCGACCCGGCATCGGCACACACGGCGACCATTTGGCCAGCCCCTCCGGCTCTGTCTCGAAAGACGGCCAGACACCTCACCTCCGTCTCCGTCCTCTGTCTCTCTCTCTCTCTCTCTCTCCCTCCCCTCTCCGTCCTTTTCTTCCCCAAGAATAGCCTGCCCCTCTCTTTCCTCCCTACTTCATCTCGTGTCCTCGCACCTTTTGGCGAACGGGCGCTCGCCGGCCACTCGGGACCCTTCCCCCCTCTTCCTTTGCCGATAAAGAGCCATGCCCTGCCCGACGCCGCCGCTGGCGGCCACCTTGGCCTCGTGGCTGACCACCCCTCGGCATGATGTCGGCCTGGTGCATGTGGCGCACTCGTCCTACTCGTCGCGCATGCAGCGAGCCTTCGGGCAGTTGGCCTTCGACGCGCAGCAGCGCCTCTCCGGCACCGGATCGGCCGCGTCCCCCCCTTCGCCATCGGGCGCCTCCTCCGGGGGGGACAGTCGTGCCAGCAGCCCCGGGGTCCTGTCGCCAGGACGCTCGGCCTCCTCCTTCAGCAGCACCATCATCGGGTCGCTTTTCTCCTCCCGTGACAAGGGCAGCTCCGCTGCTTCCACGACCGCCGCCGCCGCTGCCGATCCCTCCGGCTTCCCCAATCATGTTCCCCAGACGCCCCCCCTGTCGCGCCGCGAGTCGGCCACATACTACAGCATGCAGCCCTCACGGTCGACCGGTGACGCCAATCCCGGCTCGATGGCAAGCGCCACCACCGTTGTCCCCTCCGGCAGCACCCTCATCCCGGGCATTGGCATCGGGGAGAATGGCATCATTGTGGCCACGGCCAGTCGGCGTGGGCACATCTGGCTCTGGCGCCCGGATGAGTCAAACAACCTGGTGGTATGTCCCGGTCGCCATCCTTTCCTTGCCTCCCCCCCCCCCTCCCCCCTCCCCCGGCCTCCTTCGCTCCTCCCGCACTCCCACGCGCACCCTGACGCCCACGCCTGTCCCCAGCCCAAGGCCCTGCTCCTCGGTCACTTTGCCCCGATCACCGCCCTGGCCGATGTGTCCTGCGGGCCGCTCGATTCCTTCGGCTTCCGCCTGACTCCGATGCTGGCCAGTGTCGATGAAGATGGGTGCGCGTCTCCTCCATGCTCCGCCAGCCTCCCTGTCCATGCCGATTGACCGTCTCTCCCCCGTCGATTCCAAGTGTCTTGATGATCTGGTCGTTGCATGATGGCCGCTGCCTGAATGCCTCCCGTCGCGGCCTGCTCGATGGCTGTCCCAAGACTCTGGCTCTGCTGCCCTGCTTGAACATGTCCGCCTGCCCTCTGCCCCGCCCTGATGTCGCCCTCCCGCCTGCCCTTCTCGTCCTTTTCTTCGTCTCCTCCTCCTCCTCCTCCTCCTCCTCCTGACGCCCCGAGTGTCCCCCACGTCCCCCCCTCCCTCCTCCCCCTCCCCTGTTTGCTGCTGGCATAGCCGCCCATCCAGCCGGACTGGCCTCCTCTCCTCCAAGGACACGCTCCCGCGCTATGCCCTGGTGTCCGGCCGGTCACGGGTCTCCACCCTGGTGGACCTGCTCGGCGGGCACACCCCTCGCTCGGGCAGTCTCACCCGGAGCTACATGCGCGTGGTCGCGCACCTGAGCCTCACTGATGCCGACCAGTGGGTGGACTTCACTCTGTACCACCAATGTGCGCTTGACATCTTCCCATTCGCCCGGCCGCACGCTTGACACTCCCCCGCGCCCGTGCTGCTGGCCCCGCCGCTGACACCCGCCACAGTTGAGGTGTTTGTTTTTGCCTTCGACGGTTCCTTGCGCGTGTTCACCCTGGCGTCGCTGCTGCCGCCGTATCCGGACCGCGAGGTGGCCGCCCCGGCGCCGTCCAGTCGACGGGCCACCTCCAGCCAATTCGTCCAGTCGGTCCTCAACCAGGCCGGGCAGACCCTGCATCTGGGCCGGTCCGGCGCTTCACGCGACTCGGCCGGTGGATCGCATGTCGTCGCGCAAACCGGGCTCCCGGTGCCGAACGACCCCTCCAGTGGCTCCTTCACGGCACAGCTGATGTCACGCTTCCAGGAGCAGCCGCTGCTGCACCGGCCGCGCCCGGCGCGTGCCAACCCGACTGCTCGGCTGACACAGACGGTCTCGGCCTGCCTGTCCCCCTGCGACGGCTTCCTGCTGGTGGTCGGTCGCCAGCATGTGTCGGTACGCAGGCATCTTTGTCCACGTTTCGCCCCCCCCCCCTCCCTATGGCTTGATGCACCCTTCTGCTCACATTCGGCTCGCCGCCCTTGCGTGCGCATTTCCACACCCACACACCGACGCACGGGCGCAATGCCGTAGCTCCTGTCGCGTTCCTCGCTGGATGTCATCCACCGCGATCGCTGCCCCTCGGCCCTGGGCTGGCATTCCGGGGAGTTCCTCCTTCTGGACTACGACCAGGTGGAGCCTGACGCCGATGCCTCGGCCGAAGCGCCAGGTCTCTCCAAGAAGGCCCTGCTCACGCGCCTCCATGTGTCTCTCTCTTGCCGGGTGCGTCTTTTCGCCGCTCCTCCCGACCCTCCGGCCGCGCCTCTTCCCCCATGGCCTTCTGCCCACTTTGCTGACCATTGGCTGCCGCGAAATCCACGCCCCTCTCTCTCTCTCTGCCCGGGCCGCAGAGTGGCAGCAACTACATCTTCCGTTACGATGTCTACTGCGACCCGGCCACCGGGTTCCTATCCAGTCGTTCCTTCCAGCTCGGTGCTCTGGTGCCCGAGGCGGCCGCCCTCAATCCGGACACGGCTCTCATCAGCCCGGGGGCCAATCGCGCGCGCGTGCGCCGGACCTTGGTCCCCTCCATGTCCCTCGGCCCGACCAGCTGCATCCTGCGCGTTCCCACTTCCGGCGGGCCGGCCCCCGGGGCTCCTCCCTTCGAGGAGCTGCTGTTCAGCTTCGCCCGCGAGGGCGGGTCCAGCCATGTCCGATCCTGGTCCGTGGGAGCGGCCCTGCACGCCCTGGCGGCCATGCCATCTTCCAAGCGCCGTGCCGTGCCGCCGGCCCTCTGTGCGTGGATATACCCCTCGCTCCCTGTCGCGCTGCCACCTCCCGGCAGACATTGCCGCATGTGGCGCCTTCCCCTCCCCCTTGCCCCCTCCATCGACCTGCTCCTTGTTGACGCTCTTCCCCCCCCCCCCTCCCCCCTCTCTCTCTGTCTGCCCCTCGCTCGGTGCCAGCCATCCGGGCAGAGGACATTTGGGAGCCCGCCTTCCGGGCCAATGCGCCGGCCCTCTGCCCGGCGCAGCATGTGGACCCCGCCGCCTCGGCAGCCTGCCTGCTGGTCCCCTCCCGGCCGTCGGCCATTTGTCTGGTGCAGGGGCGCTTTCTGGCCCAGGGATTCCCGGATGGGCGGATTCGCATCCTGCCCGTCGGAGACTTTGGCCTGATTGCGGCGACGTCGGTCTCCTCGGCCGGGGTCGCCGGGTCCGGCTGCGGGTGCACCCCCGGCGATGAGGATGCCCATGAGTGCCCGGCCGGCGGGGCTGGCTTCTGGCTGGAGCCTGGCCACCCCGGGTCGCGCATTACCACCATGCTGGATCCCACCCCCTCGCTGGTGGAATCGGACTCCTCCTCGGTGACGCTCAAGTGCTACCTGGTGTCCGGCTCGGCGGACGGCATGGTCCGCGTCTGGAACCTCAAGACCCGGCAATTGCTGGCCACCTTCCTCTGCCACTCGGGCCCGATCACGGCGCTGCTGATCCCGCCGCCCATCCCCAGCACCGTGACAAGCATGGTGGGCGGTGTGGTGGGCGGGTCCGGTGGGATCCCCCTCCGGCGGTGCATCATCTCCGTCGGGGCCGACCACTCGGTGGCCATCCTCTCCATGGCCGGTCTTCAGTGGTGCGCCATTGCCCATGGGGTCCTCCTGGCCGCTCGCTCCTCCTCTTGCCGCTCGCTCCTGGGCTCCTGCCCTGCGTGCCTCGCCTTGCCTCGCCTCGCCTCGCCTCGCTTGGGGGCCCTCGTGGCTGCCCCCCGCCGCCCATGGCCGGCCTGCTGACCCCTCCTGCCGAATCGAATGCCATCTCCCTCCCCCCCCCCCCCCCCCGGTCCGACGGTTTTCCGCGCGCAGCGTCCACATGTTTGGCGGCCACCCGCACCCGATCACCTCGCTCATTTGCGACGGCGAGCGTCTCTTTGTCTCGTGCGGCACGCTCTTCTCGTCGCCAGTCGGGTCGGCCTCGTCGTTGATGGCTGTCACCACCACCCTCGGCCGGGATGCCCTCTTTTCCTCGACCTCCTCCATGAGCGACAACTTCTCGGTGGTCGCGTCCATGGCCCGCAGCCCGCAGTGTGTCTATGTGTGGCATCTGGCCACCGGGTATTTGGAGCGCGTGGCCGAGGGCCCACGCGCGCTGGTCATCCTCAAGGGGGTGACCGAGCGCCTGGCGGCCTTCGCCCAAATTGAACGCCAGCAGGCGCTCGACCGGCAGGCCGGCGACCTGGCGGCATCCGATGGCAAGGACCCCTCGGGCGCGGGGCGGCGGCGGTCGAGCGCGGCGGCGGCGGCGGCGACGGCCGTGGCGGCCGTGGCCGTCGGGGCCACCTCCGCCGAGACGCGCCTGCTCCAAAGCTCCAAGGCCAGCACGCAGATGATGGCCGAGGTGTCCGAATCGCAGATGAGCCTCTCGGCCGAGACCGGGGCCGGGCCGGACCGTGGGGACTCTCGGAACGCGGCGGGCCGCGCTCTGTATGACACGCTGGTTCCCATGGCCGCCGGGCCGTCGGTGCGTGCATCCGGCTCCGGCCCGCGGAGCCCGCTGATCGGCGCGGCGGCCCGGGCCGCAGGCGCGGCGGCCCCCAGCCGGGCCATCCTCCCGGCCCAGCCCAGCCCGCTGCTCTTCCAGCATGTGCCGGTCATGAATTCCGGTGCCAATGGCGACCCTTGCATCGAGCTGCTGCTGGTCACCTCGCTGCGCATGCTTGTCGGCACGCTGGAGGGGCTGGTCCAACAGTACTCGGTCATGGCGGCGGCCACGGCGACGATGGTCGACGCATCGGCCGCCGGGTCTCCGGCGCGGCAATTTGTCAGCCGTGGTCTGTTGGCCCGGCCGGTTCTTGCGCCGCGTCATCCCGCCGCCGGGGCAGCCCCCTCGATGGATCGCCTGGCGGGGGGCGGCCTGGCCGACGCATCGCAGGCTCTCTCCGAGCCCGAGGCCTCGGCCTCGCCCTCGGCCGCCCTGATGGCCGGCCAGCATCCGCAAGGCCAGCAGTTCGCCGTGTCCAGCCCGGCACTTCGAGCCCGGTCCGTGACCCTGACGATGGCCAACGCCCCGGGCGCCGCTGCCACTGGCCCGAGCGCCGGCGACACCTCGACCCCGGGGGACCCCCTCCCTCGGAGCCTCCACCAACTGTTCTCCCCGTCGCGGTCGGCCTCCAGCAGCTCGGCCACCGACTCCGGGCTCGGGGCCTCGCCGCTGGTGGACCTTTCGGCGGGCAGCCGTTCGCCCGACCTCGGTCTGCTGATGCTCGGGGAGACGGCGTCCCCGGGCCCGGCCACCGCCGGCATCGGGGCTACCCGCTGCGCGCACTGCGTCGCCGTGGAGTCCGGCATGCGGCGGCCCCCATCCGGGTCCATTCTCAGCGATGATGAGGCCCCCACCACCAGCCGTGGCCGCCCGGGGGCCGGACCGGTCCCCCCAGCCGGGCAGGTGACCCTTGCGCCAGCGAGCATGGGCGACTTCGGCCCCTTCGAGGTGGCGCCGGGGACGTCGGCAGCAAGCGCCGCCGCCGCCGCGAGCGTTCCTGTTGCCGGTGGCGGCGGCGTCCCGGTCGCCGCATCGTCCCCCTTGGCTCCGGCTGATGAGGCCCCCCTCTGCAGCTCCTGCGGTCAGCCGCTGGATCTGGTCGGCGAGTCGGAGTCCCCGCTGAACACCGACGATGAGGATGCCGGTGGAGCGCCCCGGCGCCGTCGTGGCACCGGCCGGTCGACCAAGCCGGCCGACGGGGCAGCCGCCATCGCGGTCCCGAGTCCCAGCCTGGCGGGCGCCTCCGCGGCCAGCCTGTCGCCGTCGCTCTCTGGGGCCCTGTCAGCCCTGCCTTCGCACTTGGCGTCGCCGACCCCGTCGGCCGCCACCTCGACCGACCTGTCGGCCGGACTGACGGCCATCGGGGCCGGCGCGGCACTCGACATGCCGGACATCTCGGCCACCCCGAGCAGCGCCTCGATCGCCGGGGCCGCGGGCTCCATGCCGGGTGCCGCCGCCGCCGCCGCCGCCGCCGCCGCCGCCTCTCGACAGACGGTGCCGCCTCTGCTGCCGGAGCTGAGCGAGCGCGATCGCAGCCTGGTCACCCTGGCGCGAACCTTCCTCAGTGCCCTGCACGCGTGGGATCTGGTGCCGCTGGTCTTCCCGAACTTCGAGTCCGGCTACGGGGTGGAAACCCTCGGCCCGGCCGAGGCGGCCCTCTCCCCCCGGGCGGACCTGATCCAGTGGGTGGCCGATTCGGTGCTCGGCCTGACGCGCATCCCCGACTGCCTGACCTGGGCCATCCGCAGCATCAACGGCACGGCCACCATCTTTGCGCCGAATGCCCTTGGTGGGCCGGCCACGGCGATGGCCACCGCCCCGGCGGCCCCCCTCACCCGGCAGCAGATCATCACCCAATCCGGGTGGGCGCTGTCGCCCTTTGTCACGGCCCACCGGCTGCTGAGCATCGTCTCGGTGCTGAATGTCCTGTCGAGCAGCGAAGACCTCTCGGCCAAGCTGGCCCCTCTGGTGCAGTTCTATACCGTGGACTTGGTCTTTGCCATGGTTGTCTCGCCGCCGGTGACCGCCTCCCCGGTGCTGGATCAGCACAATGTGGTGGTGGCGCCGTCCGTCTCCCCGAGCAACTCGCCCACCACGCCGTTCGCCTCGCCGGTGAGCACCCCGCCAGTTGAGCCGGCCGCCCCGATGCCCGCGGCCGAGCCCCCCTTGGTCGGTGCGTCGGGCCCCGAGTCGGCCACCCCGCAGCCTCTCTTTGGAGCCCCGCCCTCGGTGGCCTTCCTGTCCATGTATTGGATCGACCCGTCGCCGCACATCACCCGTGCTTGCCAGGCCATCCTGCGGTCCACGGTGACCGCTCTGTCGGACTCGGCCTGGCTCCGGCTGCTGGAATATTGGCTCGGCCGGCTGAGGAGCTTCTCGGCCCTGCTGTCCTTCCAGCTACACCGGGTGGCCGAGCAGCAGCAGCAGCAGGCCAGCACCACCGGCGGGTCCGGGTCTGGCTCCGGGTCCGGGCCCGGGTCCGGGCCCGGGTCTGGCAGTGGGCTCGGCGCCGGGGGCCCCGGGGGCCCCGGGCCCGGCTCCGGGGGGCGTCTGGACGGCGCACCTGGCCCCGGGTCCGGCTCCGGTGCGCACTCCTCCGGGGCTGGATCGGGCTCCGGTCGGCACGCCCCCCCGGCCTATGGCCAGCTATTGGGCGAGTGCCTGGCACTGGATCCCATCCCGGCCATCGTGGTGGCCGTCCTGCTGACCCAGCGCCCGGTGTCCAGCAATCTCCGGCAGCTGACCCTGCTGGAGTCCCCGGGCCGGCCAAACACCATCATGGTTGCATGGCAAATGTGCGCCCTGGCCCTCTTCTCGCTGTTGCAGCTGCCCTTCGGCCCGGGGGTCCCTCCCTCCGAGCCGGCCTTCAACTCCATCTCCATGGCCCGCGCGCGCATGGCCGCCGTGGATTTGCTCGGCCGCTACTGGCTGGCCAGCACCCCTCGTCTGAATTTGCCGAATGAGCCGGCCCCGGAAACCCGCACCGGTGGCTTCTCCGCCTTCCTGGACTTGCGGTCTGTGGTTCGGCTTTTCATCGGGATCGCCTTCCCGGCCAATGTGCCGCTGTCCGGCGGGCCCGGGTCGACGTCGGCGGTGCGATCCTCCTCCGGCACGTTGGCCGGCTCCGGTGGCCCGCGGGCCGCCGGGCCTCGGGGCCCTGGCGGCCCGGCCCCCTCTTCCAGCAGCCCCTCCCTGGCGGCAGGGGCCGGCGGCGATGTGGGGCCCAATGCGCCGGGGTCCGCCACGACCCCCGGCCGGACGCCCTCGCCCCTCCGCAACCCGGAGCTCATCTTCACCCAAAATGCCCGGTCTTCTTCGCTGCCCACATTGGCTCGATCAAGCCTCCTGCTGCTGGCCGAGCAGGCCCCTCTGGAGCTGCTGCAAATCATCACGGACTTCTTCTCGCCGCAAGCGTCCATGGGTGAGATGGCCTGCGCCATCAAGTTGATTCTCTACCTCACGCGCCGGGTACGTCCACATGTCGCCCCTGCCCCCTGCCCCCCCCCCCACTCCTCTTTGGCCCGTTGCTCCTTGCCCCTTTCGTCCCTTTGACGCTGACACGCGCCTCGCTGGCTTTCCCCCCCCCCTCTCTCTCTCTCCCGCCCCTCCGGCCGGCCGCTTCACAGTGCGAGCATCTGCCGGCCTTGTCGCGCGCCCTGCACGCCTTCGCCGGGTTCCTGGTCAGCCTGGTCATCGCCCGTGTCCTGGATGCCAAGCGCGAGCATCCGCAGCAGCTGACCACCCTGGCGCAGTATGCCCTGCTGTCCCTGCAGGCGACTGTCCCGTCGGTGCTGCTGTTCTCGCGCAACTCGCGCATCGTCTGCCCGGTTGTCATTGTTTCCCCGCTGGCGGGTGGCCCGCCGCTGACCGGTGGTTCGGGCCCCGGTGGCGGTGCCGCTGCTGCCATGGGGTCCGGTGGCGCTGGTGCGGCCCTCCCGGCCGGCGGGGCCAATGCCGGCCCCGGTGGCGATGCGCCCTCTCGCCAGGAGCGCTCTTGGCTGGCCATTTACGACCTGCTCACCGCGGCCCGAGTGTCGGTCTTTGACCTGGGCATCATCGGCCAGGAATGCGGGCCGGTTTGCGGGCTGACCATCTCCCCGGACAATCACTGGCTGGTGGCTGTCATGTTCCCGAGCACATACTCCTCGCGGCGGGTCCATCTGCAGCCGGGTGCCGATGCGGCGGCCGCAGCGGCCGGCGACCCGCGCTCGGCCGCCTCCCTGGCCGATATGACGCCCATCCCGCTGGAGGGCGCCTTCCGTGTGTGGCCTCTCAGCCAGCAGGCCATCGGCCCGCTGTCGGTCATGGCCAACCGCGGCTCAGCCCAGCCGAATATCGGCACCCCGCTGCCGCCCGTCCCGACGGTCAGCGGCTCGACCGGGGGCTCCTCCTCCGGGTCCTCCTCCGGCTCCATGACCGCCGTTCCGGCCATCAAGACCGGCCGCATGCCCTGGCGCTTCGAGCAGGGTGCGTCTTCCCGGCCCTCCTTCCTCTTTCTTTTTTTTTTTTTACCCCCTCCCCGCGGCCCCTCTCTGCCCTTGCTCCCTCGCCATCTCTGACCCCCTTCTCGTTGCCCGCCTCTCCGCTCGATCTAGACCTCATTCACTATGCCTTGCGGAACATCCGCTTCGAGTGGCAGGCCTCCGCGCCCACCGGCTCGCAGGCTTACCCTCGCATGCGCTCCCTCTTCGGTCGGTTGATGGTGCATTTCGCCCCTCGGGGCGTTGACGGCCCGCCGCCCTTCGAGATCGTTTGCGATTCCTTCCTGCACAACTGAGGACAATCCTGGCCACCAGTCTGCCTGTGTGTGTGTGTGTATGAACTCCTCTCCGGATACGTGCACACACACACACGCGCAGACACGCACATACGCGCACCAGCACGAACACCTCCCCCCTCCGTCAGGAGCTTGGACGAGGCTGGACCTTCCTTCCTCCCTTTTCCTGGCCCTCCCCTTCACCACACGCCCTTGTACACCCGGCGTCCCCGCCCCACGCCGCCAATAGAGACATACTCTCGCGCGTCACCCTGCACGAAGCCTGATCCACATCGTAGCAGCATCGGTATGCTGCTTCATGTTCTGATGCACTTCATCGGGGCTTTGCATTCTTGGCCCATGCCCCGAAGCAGAGACATGTGCCGACGCACAAGTACCCGCATTCCCCACAATCGCAACCACGATCTTCGGCCCGGGCTGTCGTTGTCCTCCCTCCGTCCGCCTGGCGCTTCGCCCGCCTTTGGACCTTGGTATGGAGTCACCCGCCGGGCTTCGCCGAGGGCTGCCCCGGCTGGCGCCCCTCCCCAAGCGACAATACATCGTCCCCACGAGACCCACTGCCGATGATGAGCAAATGGCATGCCAGCACCTGGTTCGGAGAGTGAACTATCTCTCTACGCATTGCTGTCTACAATCACACACACACACACACACACACACACACACACGCTGGCACACAAAGACACATACAAGGGACACGGGGGAAAAAAGACCCATAGCCCCAAGGCCACATACACAGGCTGGCCCTCATCTGGGCCAGATGTCCTCCGGCGAGGCCCTTCTCTGCGGGCTTTCGTCGCAAAGCGTCCGAACTGACCCCCGGGGGGTTGCGCCGGGCCCCCATGCGCATCCTCGGCCCGAGGTTGGCTCCATTTGGCGCACCAACCTGAGACCCCCTCACTCCCTCCGGTGGCCGCCCCCCTCCCCGGTCCCTCCTTCCCGAAGAGGGCACCAGACGCCAGCTGCCGAGAGGGCAATCGAGCGTCGATCAGCCGGCCGATTTAATCGGTGCCGCCGCCCCCCCCCCCCCCCCCCCCCCCCGGCGCCCCGAGGAGGAGGCTATATGCTAATGTTCCCCTCAGGGGGCAACCGAGTGGCGAGGGGCTCCGCAGGGCTCCTTGTGGCAGGGGAAGAGGGCCAATTCCTTTGGCCCACCTCGCCACCATGCCCAAGCCTCCGTGTGGCTGGCCAGATGGCGCATCGGGGCCGCTCGCGCAGGCCCAGCCTGCCAGCAGCCCTCCACCCTTGCGAGGCTGGCCACGCAAGCGCCCTCTCTTCGGGGCCCTGTCTCCTCGCAGCCTTGCTGACTGTCCCCCAAGAAATCCCTCCCCCCCCCCCCCTTGCCCGCTCGATCGATTGTTCTTCCTCCCCCTCTCCCTTTGCTTTTCTCCCTCTCGACGCCCAGCACCCCACCTGCCAGTTCCTGTCTTGCCGCTGCGTCTCTTTTTGTGGTTGCTCACAAGCCGGGCGCCCGGCCTCATCGCTGCTCCCTCACCCGCTCCCCGGCAAAGGGGCCCTTCTATGCTCGCCTGTTAGGTGGGGAAAAAAACATCGCCGGATCTGCTCCGCATCGAGCGCCCACCCGGGCAAAAGGTCGCCCATGACTCTGGCCCATGAACAGCCTGCGGCCCAGCGGCCCGCCAGCACGCCTACACATTCGCCGCTTTTTCAGGACCACCTCGTCCAGGGTACGCAACCAGCGGCAGGTCCCCGCATGATACCGCCGGTTCCCGGTCTGACACGCGGATCTCGTTCCCCGAGGAGGCCACGCGGCCCGTCGACTCTCCATCTATCTCTCTCTCTCTCTCCCTCTCGGCTCTCCGCCTGCTTCATTCCCCCGCCCGCTTGGGGCCGCAGTTCAGTACATCGGCCCCTCCCAGTGCCGCGGTATGGCCAGCACGCCGGAATCAGCCCACTCGCACACACAAGCCCGGCCAATCGCCATGAAGTCCCCTTCGCTGACCATCCTCTTCTGACCGGCTTCACCATAGAGTCGACCGATGTTCAGTCCTTCCGGGAAATGCTGACCCGTAATCCCTCATGGGAGTACCTGGAGATCGGGTCCGAGCGCGGTGCGCCCCCTGCATCCTGCACCCTGCATCATGCTCGGCAGGCCCCGTTCCCAGGCCTGCTGTTGCAGCAGCTGCTGCTGCCGCCGCCGCCGCCGCCGCCGCCGCCGCCGCCGCCGCTGACCTATGCCACCATCGGGCCTTCCTTTTTGCCCCTCTCCTCCTGACCGGCCCGGCTGCCGGTCCTCCGGTCCAGCTCTCGGCGACAAGTTTTACTCCTGGCTCGCGCGGATGATCCCAGACATGCATGGCTTGCGAACGCTGGTCATTGGTGGTGCGGCCCTCGGGGACACAGATGGGGCAGGCCTTCCTCCGCGCCCCACCGGGCCCGATGGGCTCCCCTGACACTGACCCGGCCATCCCCTGTCTTCCCTCCGCCACGCCTGCCGTAGCATCATCCATGTCCCAGATGACCTTGGCCAACCTGCTGCTGGTGATCCTGAATCACTCGCAGATCTCCCACCTCGGGCTCATCGGTGCGGGCAGATGCTTCCAACGCACTCGCCGAGGGCGTGGTTTGCACCCAGGCAGCCCCCCCCCCCCCCCCCCTGCCCCGGCCCCGGCCCCGGCCCCGGCCCCGGCCCCGGCCCCGGCCCCGGCCCATGCTGACACACCCACCCAGACCAGGACTCGCATCGAGAGGCATTCAGCGAGAATGTGGCGGACTTGCTCCGGTTCCCGGGCTTCATCAAGTCGCTGGCTTTGAAGAGTGCGCCACCGGGCCCCGGGCCACGCCATCCGCCGGAAGCATGTTCCCTTGCCTGACCGTGTCCGCCATCCAAACGACGTGCTGCGTCAGACTGCCCGCTGTCGGTGACCAGCATCGACAATATCTGCGGCTCGCTCGAGATCCCCGGCTCGACGCTCACGAGCCTCTCGCTGAAGGGTGCGTCTCGGCGCCGGGGGGGGTGGCTACAGCAATGAGGAAGGGGGTAGGCGAGTCCGCGCGCGACAGAAGAAACCGTGTGCCGGGGAGCAAGAGGACATGCCGGTGCATGTGTGTACGTGTGTGCCTGAATGCGAGTGCGCATGCGCGTGTACGTGTGTGTACGTGTGTGCCTGAATGCGAGTGCGCATGCGCGTGTCCGTGTGTGTACGTGTGTGCCTGAATGCGAGTGCGCATGCGCGTGTCCGTGTGCGCGTGTGCGCTGGGCGGTGGGCGAGTAAGGCCAGGGGGAGGCAATCGCTGGAAGACAAAGGAAGCGAGCCCCGCTCCGAAAGGAAGAAGGCCAGGACCGGCCAGAGTGAGAGCCACCAGAAGGCCGCCAGGGGACGGGCGGGGGGACGGGTGTGGCCGGCGAAATGCTGACCTCCAGCCCGTGTGGATTCCCCCTGCGGGGCCACGCACACCTCAGGCATCTCTCTCTCGGGGCAATTTGACCGGGTGTGTGCCATGCTGCAAAAGAATCGGGCTCTCCAGCAGCTGGCCCTTGTTCGTACGTGTCGACCGATTGCCGGCCCGGGGCTTGATGCCAGCGATTGACACGCTGTCCGTGGCTCCACTCCCTCTGCCGCCGGTCTTTCCCAGGCTGCGGACTGAACACGCACAACTGGGAGCAACTCTTCGATGCCCTCTCCGTCCGGCCGATCGGGCTCACGCACCTGGACGTATCAGGTACGCCGCCCCGATCGGCACGAATTCGCCGGTGAAATATGCTGGAGGCAGGCCTTCCTGGCCTCGCCGGCCCATCGGCTCTTTCGGCTGCTTTACACGCACACATGCATGCATGCATGCATGCGTGCTGCCCCCCTCCTCCCTCCTGACTCATCCCGGTTTCCCATTTTTCTCCCGGGTCTGGCGCGCGCGCGCGCGCGCGAAGGCCACCTCATCACCGATCTCGGCTCGGCCTTCATTGCCAACATCATTCGCTTTCAGCCGGAGCTGGAAGTCTTTAAAGCATCAGGTAGGTGCTCTGAACCGGGGGGGGGGGCCATAGGGCAGGGAGGGGGAGAGCCCCACGCAGGGCATCGAATGTCCGGCTGGTGCGATATCCTCGGTGAAGGGCCTTTTTTAACATGGCCCCCTGGGCCATATGTGGCACTGGGACCCGCCACCCGCCTGCCGGATGTTTCCCCTCCAAGGGTGCGGCATCGAGGGGCGAGCCACCATCGAGATTTTGTCCGCCCTGAGGAGCAGGATCACGCTCACCGGGCTGGATCTGAGCGGTGCGTGCCCGAGCCTGTCGCATGCATGCATGCGCGCCCGTGCCGCCCCGCCGGCCTGAACATGGCCACATGCGAAAGTTTGCCGCCGACTCACGCTCAAGCCTTCCCCCCCTGGAGGGGGTGCCCCACTCCAGACAATCCACTCAGCGATGCTGCAGCCCTGATCTTCTCGGACATCCTGGAGCGCGAACAGCCCGGAAACCGCCTCCGGAAGCTGGACCTCTCAGGTGCGCAAACGCGGGGCGGGGGGCCCCCAGGGCCGGCTGCGAGACGCGCCCTCATCATTCGGCAGGGGTGCAGTATTGACCAATGGAAATCACCCGTCCGGACCGGCCCTGTATATCTCCCCCTCGCCCCCCCCCCCCCCTCCCGACTGATCGCATGCTCACGCGCCCCGAAAGGTACCGGCTTGGAGAAGCCCGATCTTGCATGGATCTTCGAGGCCCTGGGCCGTAACACCTCCATCTCTTCGGTGTCCTTCTCCCGTGCGTATGCTCTCCTTTCGGGGCTCGGGCCGCCCTGCTTGGTGACGGGGCCGGCCGCCTGTGGCCCGAGGAGCATGTTGCCATTGGAGCGGGAAGACGGGGAAAGGAAATGCGCCATCTATACCATACTGATCTCCCCAGCGTCTCCGACCACGATCTCCCGGGGCGCGGCTGTCTTGCTTTTCCAGGTTGCCCCATTGTCGGGGAACTGCCCACATGCCACATTCTCTCGGCTGTCGCCAGTTACGGCGTTCGGAGACGGATCTACCTCAAAAGTACGTGCCCAGGAGGGGAGGGAGACATGGGTGGGCTCGAGGCGGGGGG